CCGAGATTCCATTTGCCAAATTAAAAAATGAGTATGGTAAAGCAAGTGATAAGTATCATAATGACAATAACGGCAAATATTTATAGCAAACGATTCAAATTACATTCAAGAATAAACTAATATAAAAAAAAAAAGAGTACAAAAATCAGAGTCGGCCAAAGAATCATTATCATGTGCGACGTTATTTTAAATCTAAAATTTGATCGATGGGGTATTATGGCGAATTTAATTTTAGCGGTAAAAAAAATTTTTTTTTAACCCGATTCGTTATCTGTACTAGGTTTAGCTTTTGGCCAACCTCTTTTTCGGTTGACTGCCTCCACTTTTTTTTGGGCTGCTGCTTTTTTTTGGGCTGCTGCTTCTTTTTTTTGGGCCGCTGCTTCTTTTTTTTGAGCCGCTGCTTCTTTTTTTTGAGCTGCAGCCTCCTTTTTTTGCCTAATTTCTTCAGCTTTTCGTTCAGCTTCTTTGTTCACCTCTTTCATTTGCTGCCAACTTTCTTCGTTGGTCAAAAGTCGAGCAAATGGGAGTGTCTTTCTCTTTTTTTTAGGGGGAGACAACACAGATTCAGATGCCTCTTGAGAATTTTGAACTTGCGAAATAGGATATTTAAGCGCTAGACGCAATGCACATGTTCTAGGGTTCTTGTAAGTTTCTAGCTCTTCACTTAGTTTTTTAACCTGAGATTTTAACAAATCATTCTCATTCCTTAGTAAAATGCTATCTTCTTTTAAATTCTCAATACTTAGGCGAGTAGAATGAGAATGACTTGTTAGTGCAGATGGTGGTGATGTTAGAGTCATACCAGTTGGCTGAACAAAAGGCAAGTTATCTAAAGTTGAATCTTTAAACTGTTCAGTCACTAAAGAAGGGTCTAAACGATCATCACCAATTGCACTAGGATTAAAGGGCCATATCCCAGTCGTTTTGTAGGCATTACAAATAGCTAGTGGCGTATAAGTTTTTGCAAAAACGAGACCAAGAATCTTTGCAAAGGTATGCTTTGTAACTATTTTGCCGTTATTGTCATTATGATACTTATCACTTGCTTTACCATACTCATTTTTTAATTTGGCAAATGGAATCTCGG